ACCCCCCCTTGCCTCCCCTGCCGTGGGCAGGGCTTTGCCTGCCCTGGTCCTGCTGCAGCCTTCTGAAGAGGGAGCAGAGCTGGGCTCTGCATCCCAAGGGTGGAGAGCAGCAAATTCACTCCTCAAACCAGAGTGCATTGTCCCCTCCGTCTGCCTTCCTCCTGACTGCACTTTGGGCTGGGCTGTGCTGGCTGCCTTCCCAAGCTTTGGGTCTGATACAGCACCCATAAATATTTTCAAAACAAAAGGTAGCACTAGATGAGCCTCCCAAATCTGTTTGCTCTCCTTGCCTGCCCGCAGCACATGGGCTGCCTGCATGGTGCTGCTGTGCTGTCGCTCCGGCCGAGGTAGCCGGCACGTAGCTGTGCTGCCGTGCCATTCTGCACGACCGCAGCTGGGCTATTTACGGGCCTGCACAGATGCTGTGCCAACGTGCTGGGGCTCAGGGCACGGCGGGGATTAGTCGGAGACTTTCTGAATCGGGTGCACAACTGTTGGGATACCAGGTGATGTTGGGTCTTGGCTACAGCAGAGCCTGAACCTTCCTCATTTTAATGAGATGTGCAATAATAGACTTAAGGGCGGAGTGTGAAAAGGAGGCTGAAAGCCCGGCACTGAGCCTGGAGAAGAGGCATGTACTTGAGCAACGTGCTTGGTGCCCCAATACACACACACCTTCAGGGCTTGTGCACAGCCACGTGCCCCTCTTGTTCCTAACCCATAGCAGAGATAGGGCTGCCTTAAGTGAACGTGTATAGAGTGTTGCTTCCTAGCATGTCACCCACTGGGCCACTGACTCGCTGCTGGTGCTCAGCTGCACTCGCAGGCTGCCCTGGCATCGCCCGCGCATGTTACCGTCGCTCCAAGGCTTCATGCTGCCGCTTCTCATCTCTCCAGCGCAGCCTGTTTGCACAGAGGGAGTCAGAGGTTACACGTGGCAGTGGGATGCTGGTTCTGCTGTCATTAGATTTTTTTTTTTCCCCCTGTGATGATAAGCAAATTAGTAAGCTGTTAATGAGCTCCCAGGGTAGGTCATGGGAGGGCTGCTGCAGGGATAGAGAGGCTAGTGTGTGCCGTCCTGTGTTTGGGCGGGGAGCGTGCAGGGATGCTCGCTGTGTGATGGAGGACAGGTCAGGCCTGTCGTCTGCATCTCTTCAGCTCTTGGCTGCTTGACTTCAGTTTGCCAACATTTCATCGTTAGGAAGCGGCTTGCCAGCTCTTTATGTTTAAAGCTGTTTGCTTTGAAGGCAGGAAGATGATTTAACAACTAAAACACTTTCAGATTATAGAAAGAAAATGAGGAAATATTACTCTTGGCTTAAGCCTCTCCTAGCAGCGCTCCACCCAAAGTGAAGTGCATGGTGCTTGCAGCTACTGCTGGGTCAGCAGCGTCCTCCCTGCGCTTGCTGAGGTCCAGGGGCCAAGTTTTAAATCGGAGCCTTCGTTATGCTAAAAACAAACCCGGGCTTGTTGGAGCCAGCAGGTCCTTGCTGCTGGCGAGCCGGTGTTTGAGCCGATTCCCTGCGGGAAGGGGCTGTCGGCAGTGCTACCGTGTGAACGCTCTCGCCCTCCCACCTGCGTGCCCTGGCTTGATGCTCCTGGCCACGTGTGGGCATGGGCCACCGCGGTGCTCCCCGTCGTGGTGCAGCTCCTGGCTGAGAAGAGCCAAACCCTCCTGCTCCCCGTGTTGGGGCTACTTGGGTGCTGAGGGGAGCAGGAAAGCAAAGCCCTGTGCCCTGCTGCGACGTCGCTGGGGCTTAGCAAACCCGAGGTGGCGGCAGCAGTGTGAGCTGGGGCTGTCCTGGCTGTGCAAAGGTCTCCTCTGGGCCTGGGACGAGCGGCCTCGGCTTCGGTTTCCGTGCTGTCATGCTAGGCTCACCAAAGGGTGGCTCACACCGGAGAAGCTGCTTTTCCGCGTTGGTGTTTTGGTCTCCAGAGCCAAGCTGTCCCGTGCTGCTCCCAGCTGGCCCTTGGGCTTGTGCGCTGAGCCCCCTCCAGCGCTTCAGAGGTCTCATTTGGCCCCTCAGAACGCACCCAGTGCCCTGTGTCTCCAGCCTGTTCACTGTCCCTCCCTTCCCCCAGACCTAAGCTTCATCTTCTGCCGAGGGCAGGGATGTGCAGCCAAATCCTTCTGTTGTGCAGACTTTCATTTCCATAGCAGTAGTCATGGATACAGACTGTTTGTGCAAATAACCAATATTCCCACCCACACCACTCATGACCAGTGCAGGCACGGGTGCTGGGCAGCCAGGGTTTGGTGTCCCTGGTAGTCCTTGGCTTTACCTGCTGCTGGAAGTTTGCTTTCCCAGATGCTCTCTAGGGCTTTGCTAAAACAAAACCCAACTTTGTCAAATGGGTGGAGTTACTTAACTGCTTTTGAAACACTTGGATTCGTCTGTGTGACTTGCTAACTGTGGCAGAGGCGAGTGGTGTCCTCCAGCTTCTCTTTTATGGTGCTTGAGGGGAAAAAAAACCCCTAGTTTCTAGAGTAAAACAATGCCCTGGTTGTGTGTGCAGGCTCTGCCTCTCAGCTGGGTGCTCTGTGCAGGTGACCTGGGGCCTGGTGGTGGCATTTGCATCCTGGCATCGGCTAACGGGGCTGGGTCTGCCGCTGGCCCCATTAACCGGTACGACGCTGTTGCGTTTCTCCATGTGTCTATGTGCAAGAGAGTGGTTTGCCTTGGTAGGGAGTTTGTGGAGTGAATCCTAGATGCAATGAGTTGGGCCTGAGATGCTCTGAGCTTGAGGTCAGCGAGATGTCTGGTGAAGGAAGAAGCTGTTTGGGGCGTAATACTGAGGAGCAGCGCTGATGAGCGAGGCAGCAGTTACACTCGTAAGCGTGGCTGAGATTGCACTTAAACGTTATTTGCTACTTGGACCTCCAGTTTCTTCTCTTTGCAGACTTGTGGCGCTTTACGAAAGCTGTATGAAGTGGCAGAGCTCCCCCAGCGCAACCGCAAGGCTTATACACACAGATTTAGTCTGAGCAGAGCCAGTGTGCCGCAAGGCTTTGACGCTGGTGTGACTGCTGCTAGCAAGGCTGTACTGGTGCAGCGTTAAGGAGTGTGATTTACTCCCCACTTGCAGTATGTACTAGTTATACTTACTAAAGCATAAGGTACAAGTCAGCCTTTGCATCCTGTGGCAGAGCTGAGATGGGAGAGCTGGCATTCATGTAGAACTTGGGGTTTTTTTGCTGTAGACTCGTAGATAATTGTGCTTTTAGTATCTGTTGCTTTGGCTTTCAAAGCCTGGGGAGAATTGCCTGACGGTAGTGCAGGAAAATAACCCTCCACTTTTAAGTTCCCTGCAAGCACCTGAGAAGACATGTGCTTGGTCTCACTTGCACGCCTGCGCTTTGCTGGGAACAGGTCCCTGAGCTGTTAAACGTGGTGCTGGTGTGTGCCAGTCAACAGGATCCTAAAGCACTTGAAGCCACAGCAGTGCCAGCATCACTGCTGGTACCCTGCAGTGTGGTAGGTCCCGGTCACGTTCCCAAGGCCTTTACTATCCATGTAAACCAGACCCGTTCCTTGCCCGTGCTGAGTTAGTGTGGACGTTCTGTAATGTGTCTGAAAAACCTGCTCTTGCTTTTGTCCCTTTTGGTTAGGCGAGAGGATCCTGGGCTACGCAGAGGAGCCTTGCTATCTCTGGTTCGTCATGGAGTTCTGTGAAGGAGGAGACCTCAATCAGTATGTGCTCTCACGAAGACCCGACCCAGCGACAAACAAGAGCTTCATGCTGCAGCTGACCAGCGCCATTGCCTTCCTGCACAAGAACCATATTGTCCACCGGGACCTGAAACCAGACAACATCCTGATAACCGAGAAGTCCGGCACCCCTGTTCTCAAGGTGGCTGACTTCGGGCTCAGTAAAGTCTGCGCCGGCCTGACTGCTCGGGGCAAGGAGGGCGGGCATGGGAACAAAAATGTGAATGTGAACAAGTACTGGCTGTCTTCGGCTTGCGGCTCCGATTTCTACATGGCACCCGAGGTCTGGGAGGGACACTACACTGCCAAGGCCGACATCTTCGCCCTTGGCATCATCATCTGGGCCATGATTGAGAGGATAACTTTCATCGATGCAGAGACCAAGAAGGAGCTGCTGGGGACCTACATCAAACAGGGGACTGAGATTGTGCCTGTTGGGGAAGCGCTGCTAGAAAACCCAAAGATGGAGCTGCACATCCCTCAGAAACGCAGGACTTCCATGTCTGAGGGGATCAAGCAGCTCTTGAAAGACATGTTGGCTGCTAACCCACAGGATCGACCTGATGCCTTTGAGCTTGAAACCAGAATGGACCAGGTTACATGTGCTGCTTAAATTCAGGGCAGGGCACCACTGTGCTTTGCAGCTGGGTAAGTGAAACGCAGTTTTTGTATTATTCTGTCTGCTGTACCAGCCCAATAACGCACTTTGTAGTGACACAAAGGAGTCTTTTATGTTCGCGGAGCTATTGCTATAGTGACTCATTAGAGCACTGCTGCTGAGGCTTTTTCCCACCTATTCCACTGCAAAAGTAAAGTAGAGGTTGGAAACAGAATTAGCAGCTGTACGTCCCGCTGCTGCCCAAAGGCCCAGCGGAGCTGGCAGGGCTGGGCAGGAGCCCTGCTCCTCGGAGGTGCTGGCCGCTGGCTGAGTCAGGCTGGTGCACGGCAGAGGGACCCGCAAGCACCCTCTGACATCAGCTTTGGGTACGTCCGTCTCTCCCGGCGCAGGGAAGGAGTTGCCAGTTCTGCCTCCTCTGCTGTGTGGTATAATTTCAGCAGTCGGTGCTGGGAGCAGCTTGCTGTCTAGCTCAGTCCCCTTCCCCTCCGAGACTCAGACAGGACACCTCGGGGCTCGGCTGGCTCGGTGAGCAGGCACCGAGTGGCATGGTAGGTCTGTCTCAGCAGACAAAGCTGTTGCCTTCGCTTTCACCTGTAAGGCACGTGGGTCCGTCTTGTTTTGTTTCCTTGCTAAAGGCAGGACTTAACATTGGTGCAAACTGCAGTTGCCCAAACCCAGTAGGATGGTTTGGTGTCCAGCATTTGAGTTCGTAGACCTGCGTCTACTCAGGAAGGAAGGTTACAGAACAGTTGTGCCCAGACTGATCTTGGCTCCCTTCAAGCAGAGCCCCCTCCCTCCTCCCCACAGCTTTATTCCAAAATATTCCCAAGCTCAGAGGTCTGGGTCCTGAGGCTGGGGTGGTCACGCATGGTCTGGAAAGGCCGCCCAGGGACATGGGGTAGCTGGTGGTGTCACTAACCTGTGACGCCGAACGAATGGGAGGTGTTGCCTCTGTGGCAATACTTGTCTGTAAACAGGAGCTGTTAATAGGTGTTCTCCTGGCCAAATACTTCAATGAAACTGAAAAATTACAGATTACGAGGGGTGAGGCTGACCTCTTCCCAGTCCAGGTCTTTCTCAAGCGCCTGCAGAGCTGCCTGACCATTGCTTGCTGGTCACAGGAGACCTGTGAAAGCCTGCCTGTGTCGGGTGCTGGCATTGCAGCTTGTGCTCCCAGCCCTTACCTCACCCTGAAACCACACAGACCCTGCTGGACCGCAGCAGACCACAGCTAGGAGAGCAGAGAGGGGCGAAATGGCTGCCCTCGGCCGCAGGCGCCCAGCCTTCAGCCGATGGCTGTGCACCTAGCCTGCTCGTGGGAGCAAGCCCACTCCTGAGAGCGAGCCTCCAGCAGCAGGGTGGTGGGGAAGGAGGGGGCATTTTGGCAGGTTTTGCTAAAAAACCTCCTCGCTGCCCACCTGAGGGTTCCTGAGCTTACGTAAAGCGATGTGCTGCCCATCCCCTCCGTGTGTGCACGCCCAGGTAAGCTTTGTGCTGTGTGCAGAGAACAGGAATACAGAAATGGAGAGGCTTGTTGGGGAGGTCTAGTTCTGTCACTGCTGGTTTGTCCAAACTGATCCACAACCCATCCCCTCCGCACCCGGGCACAAAATATTTAAATGTCCTTAAGATCTCTAGCACAAGTAACTGATGCTACTGCTTCCGCCTGGGGCTGGGGCTCCTTACTGGTCCCAGTGCAAATGTGGGCTGGGGATTAGGGTGGGGGAGTGAATGTGCAGAATATGTGAGCCCTTAAGATGGGTGTGATAGTCCTGGGGCAAGAGCAGGGCACCCCACTTCATGCCCCAGGGCGAGGCGTGGGTCTCCTGCCCCTGAGAGCAGCTCTGCTGCGTGGCGGAGGGTCGGGGTTTGCTGCCGTCTGCGATCGCGCTGTGCTGACACGATGCTGCTGAGTTATGCAACCGGCCCGTGGCCTCCGGGGAAAATTCATCCTGCGCATATCTGCAGAATAGTACATGCAGGGATAACAAACACCGAGGGGACAGTCCTACCCCGGGGCTGTTTGCTTAAAAACCCAGCTGCCTTTCTGCAACCCCCCTTCCTCCATCCGCGGCCGAGCCAGCCCTGAGTCTGCACCGATCGGCTCCCTCGGTGACGCAGCTGCAGCGGAGATGGATGCGCTTATATAATGCAACCCGGCGTACGTCGCACGGTCGCTTGGCCCAGATAGGAGCCCGTTGCCGGCTATATGATCACCGCAAACCCAGAGCGTTGCGCTGGTTTACGGGGCAGCAGGATGTTTGGTGTGATTTCCTATAGAGTTTTTCTAATGCGTTGTGTGTTTGTGCACTCAAATCAGCCTACCTCTGGCTGTTACTAAATGCAAATCTTAAATCGGAAACCAGCTTGAGAAGCTTAAAATGGGATTTAGAGCAGGGCCTGAATCTGAATTCTGCTCTCAGATAATTTAAGCTGACCGAGAAACTCAAGTAACCTCTTCCAACTGAATTGTGGCACTGGTGTGTACCTTACAGTGCTGCTGGGTCATGCAGTGAGTTCCTCTTCCCTAGGACAGCTTAGACGCTGCACAGCTTTGATTCTTGTCATAACCTGGAAAACTGTGACCCTCCCTGACCCTGGCAATCAGATTTTCACTCTGGTATGCTGCTGACCTCTTCGGATTTTTGCTTCGTGTCCCAGCAGCTTTGCCCTTTAGTTCTGCTACAGATGCTGCACGCACCTGCCAGTCAGCAGGCTTCATGCTCTGTTACCCTCCCAAAATGTAGACATTAAATGTCAGTTCTCAGCCAGGAAGGTGTTTCTGGCTTGGTTTCTGCTGGACACCAGGGTGTCTGAGGTGGGGATGAGCCTGCTTATCTCCATGCTCCCCTCAGCACGGAGGTGAGCAGCATTTCCCTGGGCAAAAGGAGGGTCTTTTCTGTATTTGAACACTGTGCTTCCCCACCTTCTGCAGAGGAGTTTATGTAAAGCCCGAGATTGCTGTTCCCAGAAGCATGCCTTTTGGGCAAAGAGAACAAAAGCTTTTCTAGCACAATTAGGGAGTGGCTGGATTGTGCTGGGTACCTGCTGATCATCTCTTGGTTGCCGCGTGATAGCCCAGCACTGGGACTGCACCGCACACTCCTCCTTTCCTGCAATGTGAACATCTCTTTGTGTATTTTTCTTGTAGCTGCCCTTCGAGTTCCCCAGGGCAGGCGAGGGGCCTCCTGTGGACCCTTCTTCAGTGGGACCCTCTAACGTTGTGGGTTTGTGCGTTGTGATTGAGCACTTCTTAGACAAGTCGATGAGGAGTGAGGTACAGCGAGAGCAGCGGCTGCTCGCCGGAGTGGCACCAGTGGTCTTGGCTGCAGAAACAAGGGGATTACAAGGGGACCAAGTGGCAGCATCACCCACCACCTACAATTAGACATTTAAGAAGCCCTGTAGTTTTAATTCATGTAGGACATCAAACTGCAGTGGTTGTGCTCAGTGTAGAAGGCAGCTTGTTCTGGTAGGTTACATTCCATAATATTTTTACTGTGGGTAGAACAGTAGGTCTGATTTTTAGGGTGGATGCTCAAGGTGAAGAGCAGGAATCTGTGTGTGTGGTGTGGTGCAGACAGCAGCATCTCGGGGGCTGCATTCAGAAGGAAGAAGGTGTCTGACAGCCGAGGCCAGCCTGCTTCACTCCAGCACTCCTCTTCCTCTCTCACTGGTTTTGATCATTCCAGTTTCATCTGAAAGTAACTGTTTGCATTTGCGTTGTTGTCCTCTTTGCATTTTCAAAATGCACCGGGAGCTGATGCTGAACAAGCTTATCTGCTCTCCCTGCACGATGGCGTCTGTCCCCGGCGAGAGCTCTCTGGTGCTGTGCCCAGCCGCTCCTGAGCACTGCTGATGAACTGCTGCCCTGCAGAATTCCAGGCCTGGAGGGCAGGGATCGGACACAGCAGCAGCACTCTGTGAGCTGTCAGTGAGCAGGGCTGTTGCATCAAGTTAGGTCTTGTTTGTTAGTACCACTCAACTCAAGTTTTACCATGTGGTGAAAGTGCCCTGACCCCGCTGGCCAGGAACAGGAGAGTGAGTCGAGGATAAAGGGTGGTGGTTTCAGTTCTGAAACGATGTTGGTTTTGACTTCAGACTGTTTTCGGTGTGGTTTGTGAACCTTGGCATGGACAAAAGCAAGGCCAGTTCCTCTTCTTGGCTGTAGCAGCGGGTGCAGCATCGCGGAGTGGGTGCATCCTTTCTGGGCAGCGCTGATTCTACCTGGGGAGAAGCAAAGCCCTGAGGATGAGCTGGATCACATCACCTCTGGCTAGATGTTAGTGTTTGCGTTTGCTCGCAGTCACCTCCGCTCTCCCTCCTGGGGGAGGCTGCTGCGGTTGGCTTTAAGGCAGCTCCCAAGGAGTGCGTCACAAATATATGTACGTAGCATGAGGAAGGACTTGGGAGGTAAAGCAGGCTCTCAGCCTCCTTCCCTTGTACCCTGTGCTCCCACGCAGGGGTAGATAATGCAATTAACACGCGAAGGTGCTGGGTTATCTCTCCCTCATCTGCGCCGAATCTTCCGATACCACGCAGACTCCATCTCTGTCATGACCCACGCGCTAGTGTCATCTTCCTTAGGATGATGGACTCCATAGGCTGCTGGTTCATATCCTGCTGATGCTGAATGAATGTTCGAGCTGATTAAAACTGTAAGTGGCATCAGTGGAGGGATTAAAAGCTCTTGAACAAGTCCCTGAAACAATGTGCGTCAATGGAGTGAGCTCACCTGTCTCAGAGCTGTGAGCTTGGGGCTGCTCAAGCAAACGCCTTCCCTGGAAACGTTCCTACTCCAGGGAAGCATGAACAGAAATGCTGCCCTTTTTGCTAATGAAGCTGTACCACAGGAGACCTCTTCCAGAAGATTCCTCACATGACTGCCCCTGACCTGATGTCTGGGTGCCTCTTGCAAGCCTGTCTTCTCAAACAGAAAGGCTTTTTTTTCTGATTGCAGCCTGCAAAAGTAGCATCTCCCAGTTAACCTCTCC